TTTCTATTGCGCCACACGTCTATCGATCGATATATATCGTTATTGAATTATCGCCCAGCCCTACCTTGATATGTGCTTTAGAATGGCTTTGTCTCCATTCAAACCCAGGTTTAAAGCCTTGCAGGGCGGCGTAAAGCCCACTGCTCTTGTTAAGCCATAAAAAAGAAAAACAAAAAAAACGGTAAGTTCATAAAAATTGATTCAGGAAATTGTCTTTATACCAAACTGAAAGATTGTTGTTCTCTACATCAAAAACAATTTAAATTTTAAAATGGAAAAACTTTCTATTTTTTATTTTTTTTTTTATCTTTTTGTATTTAAAAATTCAATGTATAACTTGGATGCATAACCACCTCCTTTTATTTCAGTGTTTAATGCTGTTTAGAATAAGGCATTATAATTAAAAATGTCTCCGGACCTTTACTGGTTGTTGTTTTTCTTTGTTTGGACCCCTCTGGTTTTTAATTGGTTGCACTAAGTCATTGAATGAGTCATGTGACCTAGCCTTTGGGACCAGTCTGAGCTCCTCTTAAACACAAGAGCAAACTAAGCTAAAATGTTCTGTTCAGCAAGAGAACAGCTGGCATTTACAGTGTCTAACAAAAGTATTTGCCCATATTGAACATTTCAACATTTTGTCACATATCAGGCTTCACATATGAAGATATAAATTTGTAATCCTTTGTGAAGAATTAACAACAAGCGGGATGCAATCATGAAGTGGAACAAAATTTATTGGATATTTTAAACTTTTGTAACAAAACAAAAACTGTTAAATTGAGTGTGCAAAATGATTTAGCCTCCGTCAGTTAATACTTTATAGCTCCAACTTTTGCTGTGATTACTTTTGCACATTGAGAGTTTTGCTCAATCTTCCTTGCAAAACAGCTTTAAGCTCAGTGAGGTTGAATAACGAGCATTTGTAAACAGCAGTTTTCAGTTCTTTTCACAGCTTGTCGATTGGATTCAGCTCTGGACTTTGACTTGGCCATTCTAACACCTAGATATGTATATTTATGAACCATGTTAAAGGAATGCTTTAATTATCCTAACAACCATTTCATTGTAGATGTTAATGTTTTGGACCCTTGTCTTGTTGGATGATAAATCTCCGTCCCACTCTCAGGTCTCTGCAGACTCCAACATTTTTTCTTCCAGAATGGTCCTGTATTTGGCTCCATCCATCTTCCCATTAATTTTAACCACCCTCCCTGTTTTAGTGCTTTGCTTTAATTTTACTGAAATGGTCACAACCCTCCTAAATTGCGATTTGTTCATGAGTCTAAATCAAAGTTGTTGTTTTTTTTGTCTGTTACCTTTAGGTGTTTTACCTGGTTCAGTTTCAAAGATTATTTTAAACTTTATCTGAAAAGTTTAAATATTTTCTTTTGTCTCTGTCTGCAGAACTACCAGAGGCATGGGTTCCCGTTGACTGACTTGCAAAAGTTCCTTCAGGGTCATAAAGATTTTCCTGTGCAGGAAGAAAATGGCCAAACAGAAGTTGAGCTCAGTAACTCTATAAACCGCTGCTGCTGCTGCCAACGGTACGACAGCAATGCCAAGATACTTCACTAATGTTCAAACCCTTATGATGGAAAATGTGTGTATGGAACATGAAATCCATTTTGAGTCATGTGCCTACCTGAGATTTACAAGTTGATCCTAAATGTCAGAGGCACCAGCCTCTGGGGTCATACACCTCCACCTTTCTCAGCTCTTCCTCTTGATGAGGTTTTGCTCTCCAAGTGGTACTTGTTAGTTTCATTTGCAAACATGGACACAGTTGTTACAAGTTGAGCTGTAATGCTGACATTTTGGGTTGAGCCTGATATGGAAATGAATTGCTTGATGGTTGGAAAATAAAACTGAGATAAAAATGGCTTTTTCTCATCTCCGTTTACTGCACCCTCCCTTCAGCCATATGCACGTTGTCATAATTATATTGAATAGAAATTGTGTGTGTGAAGAAAATCTGTACCGGTTATTAAGCCATGTTCAAATTAACAGGGTTATGTTTGTAAATGTAAAGACTGCAGCTATTTTTTGGGTAGGGTTTGGTTAGAGTTAGTTGAACTCCTGTACAGTAGCAACACCTTAGCTGATTGTGCTGTACTGCCTGTGCAATCTGATAAAATGCTAATTATGTTGCTGCAGGCATAAGTTTGTAACAGTCATGTTGGATATTATTTTGAGGCTCATGGAAAATCCCAAAGTTTCCCAACGAAGACTCAGTTCAGGAGGTGCATTCTAACAAGAACTGAGAAAACCACCGCAACACTCGAAAGCTACAGTACTAGTTCACAAACCGAAAACTGGCCTTAAATATTGATAAGTTTAGGCTTTTTGCTGTCAAATGGTAGACAAGCAAATTTGAAGTCTAACACTTAAGTTCTAAAATGTTCAACCTGTGCTCCGTTATGCAATAATAATGAGGTTTGATGGTTTTTAGTGGTGTTTAAGAAGCGGATCCTGTAAAAATGATGAGTTGAGTGATTCACTTAACATCCTAAAACTGACTTTTACAAGAGGAAATGTCAACCAGGCTTTTGAAATGGGACCTTTAACCATCTTTGTGGTACATCAGACACATGTTTTCGGAGAAAAATCAAATAGAAATGGAAAGAAACCATCTTTGCACTTTATGTAAGGGTCTCCAGGAGAAACCAAACCAATGATCAGCTGTTCTGCCCCAAAGCAACACAGTAAAATAGTATTGCACTTTGAGATTTGTAGTTTTAGTCAAACTTGGTCCTACCAATACCAAGTGATTCTGATTTCTTTGCAAGAATTAGAATTTTTTTAAAGTAATGTATTAAGAATATCTTATCCTGGCACACTTGCTGTTAACAAGCATTGATTAAAGGCAGGTTAAAGTCAGACAAATTGGTAATCTGATGTTTTAAGTTGCTTTTTATTATGTTGATTTGAAGACACAATATTGCATTCAAGAAGTACTGAGTTATTATCAGGATTTGTCGCCAAGGAGAAGTAGGAGACAAATTGTAAGTGAATAGTGAAGGATCGATATGAAGGCAGATGTTAAATTTAAACCTTACCAGTTACTTGGACCAGACTCAGTTCTGCTGGGTTAGAATAAATGTTTAGAACTCGCCACCTAAACATTTACTCTAAAGCTCACAATTCCAACAATGTTGTTTTCAGGGGGTGGGAATGGGAGGATGTTTCAGATCATTTTAGCTCCTGATGGCAGTCATTAACAAGCATGCTGAATTTCATGTTGATGTATTTGCAGCCTGGCCTCGGTAGGTTTATTTATTTCTTTGTAATACTCTATTCTCTCATTAATTACAACTATAATTGGTGTGCAGGTGGCACATGAGTTTAGCACACACGACCTATGTATGGAGGCCTTAGTCCTCGACGTGACCGACCTGGGTTCAAATCCGACCTCTGGTCCCTTGCTGCATGACTCTTCCCCTCTCTAATTCCCGCTTTCCTGTCAGCCTACTGTCAGAAAAACCTCAAAAAAAAAAAAAAAAAATTAGAACTATAATTGCCAAATTTCCAGAATGACTCCTTTTTCACAGTTTTGAATACATTGATTATGAAAACCTAAGATGACCGGACATAGTCTATAAATATATGAATATATTTACACAAACAACCAAAACACCACAGAGATGCTACTCCTAAAAATCTGATTTATGTTTTAAATGTAATGGATGACAAAGTAGTCTGTCACATTAAGACATGGGGTCTACATAGACTGCTTACCTCTACAGTGGTCTGACAGAAAAGTTGGTAGCAAAAAGATGCATTATGGTGCAGATTTATCTACACCTTTTATCTTTATTTATGCCTGGGGAGTGGCGGCCTTGTGGTTAGGGCATTGCACTTGGAATCCACACGTTCTGAGTCAATGCCCCACTTCCACAGACTGCCACTCTGGGTCCCTGAGCAAAGAACCTTAACCCCACACAGCTCCCCGTGTGCCTTATAATGGCAGCCCACTGCTCCCCAAGGGCATGGGTTAAAAGCAGAGATGCATTTCACTAATGTGAGATCAATAAAATAATGTTATTATTTCTCTGACCTCTTGTTTATAAACTTCAATCATACTGAAAATACAGTCATATTAAAAAGTTTGGGCACCCCTATTAATCTTAATTATTTTTATTTCTAAATATTTGTGTGTTTTGCAACAGCTGTTTCAGTTTGATATATCTAATAACTGATGGACACAATATTTCAGTATTGAATTCAGGTTTATTGCATTAACAGAAAATGTGCAATATGCATTGAAGCAAAACTTGACAGGTGCAGAATTTTGGGTACCTTAATCATTTTATTGATGTGAATACCCTTAACTACTTTTCACTGACTTACTGAAACACAAAATTGATTTGGTAACTTCATTAAGATTTCAACTTCATAGCCAGGTGTATCCAATCATTAGACAATGTATTTAAAGTTGCTCTCCTGTTTGAATCTCCTCTGAAGATTCATCATGGGCACCTCAACACAACTCCCAAATGATCTGAAAACAAAGATTGTTCAACATAGTCATTAGGGGAAGGGTACAAAAAGTTGTCTCGGAGATTTAAACTGACAGTTTCCATTGTGAGGAACATAGTGAGGAAATGGAAGACCACTGGGACAGTTCTTGTTAAGCTCAGAAGTGGCAGGCCAAGATAAATTTCGGAGAAGCAGATAAGAAAAATGATGAGAATGGTCAAGAACAACCCATAGACCACTTCCAAAGACCTGCAGCATCATCTTGCTGCAGATGGTGTCACTGTGCATTATTTAAAAATTCAGCACACTTTGCACCAGGAGAAGCTGTATGGGATAGTGATGCGACAGAAGCCTTTTCTGCAAGTAAACCACAAACAGGATCACTTGAGGTATGCAAAAGCACATTTGGACAAGTCAGCTTCATTTTGGAATAAGGTCCTGTGGACTGATGAAAAGGCGTTCCAAGAAAGACGCTTGCTACCCACTGTAAAATTTGGTGGAGGTTCCATCATGCTTTGGGGCTGCGTTGCCAATGCTAGCACTGGGAATCTTGTTAAAGTTCAGGGCTGCATAGGATTCCACTCAATATCAGCGGATACTTGAGAATAATGTTCAAGAATCAGTTACTAAGTTGAAGTTACGGCAAGGATGGATATTTTAGCCAGACAATGATCCAAAACACTGCTCCAAATCTACTCAGGCATTCATGCAGAGGAACAATTACAATGTGCTGCAATGGCCATCCCAATCCCCAGACCTGAATATCATTGAACATCTGTGGGATGATTTGAAGCAGGCTGTCCATGACCATCAAACTTAACTGAACTGGACTTGTTTTGCAAAGAAGAATGGTCAAAAATCCCTTGATCCAGGAACTCATTAAAAGCTACAGGAAATGACTAGAGGCTGTTGTTTTTGCAAAAGGAGGATCTACTAAATATTAATGTCTCTTTTTGCTGAGGTGCCCAAATGTTTGCACCTGTCAAGTTTTGTTTTAACGTTAATCCAATAAACCTTAATTCAATACTAAAATATTACTGTGTCCATCAGTTACTAGATATATCAAACTGAAATAGCTGTTGCAAACACCCAAATATTTAGAAATAAAAAAATAATTAGGATTAACAGGGGTGCCCAAACCTTTTCATATGGCATTACCATTAGGCTCTTAATCATTAATACCTTAAGATTGAGGTTTAGGTTTAAAATAACCTAGGCATGCCTATCCATGTTCTTTTGACACTAACATAGTAGTGTGGTGTTGCTTATTTTTAATGTAATACTGATTACTGGCATTTGTGTCAAAACCTTTTAATGGAATGAAATGAATCTCAGGCTGGATGCATTACTGTCTTCTGTCAGCTTCATATTTTCTCTAACAACTCAACTGTACAAGGAAGAAACTCTGCTTGCAACTTTTAATTAAGACCTCATTTTGCATATCTTTCATCTAGTTGCTGCCAACAAGGCATCTTTATTGTTTTTTTTTTTTTTCCCCAATGTGCATTCCTTTTCACTGAGCCAATCCCCATCATCAGTCTGTAGTGAGGTTTCCTTCACATTGTGGATTGGCTTTGCCTTACTTGGTCTGTGAGCAATGAAATTAGTGGTGGGAGGTATGCAGACACTCCCAATGATGGACTGAATACAGAGATACTGTTGAGCTGAAAACTAGGAGAAACATCCCCCTGGTTTCCCACACCCAATCTTTGCTGCGATACCTTCCAAATAAACAATCCCTGCTCCCACACCAAAGCTGAAATTAAACCAGAGGCATTTTCCGTAGCGTTCTGTTGTTTTCCTTAGGAGGATATCTTTAATCATTTGTGAGGTTTAAAGTTACCCTGATTATTTTCTAATGTGCAAGATGATACAATTCAAAATCTTCCTAATGTGTCGAGTTTAATTTAGTACAAATGCTTTCTCTTTCATGTTGACTTTTTTTTTTATATCACTTTTGTAATCAGATGAGATGTCTGACAATTTCCTAACATGGGGTAATGACTGGCAATTATTGTCTTCGTCACCACGTAACATTTGAGTCACTTCTTCCTCTTGAATGTTTTCCTCTAGATGTTTCAAACCCAGTGAAAGGTGACACAGTGACTCCTTGAGTTTATATAATGTAATACTTATATATCTTATATTAAAAAAAATAATAAATAAATATATATATATATATATTTACCCATTGGTTAAAGTTCATATTTATAATTTTTTTTTAATATGGGACCTGTTTTTGCAATCTTTACAAGGTTTACTATTACTTCTGGAAAGTCCTGTGTCACAACATTGTTTGTCCGATCTGATATTTCATACCAACCTGTAATTTATTTTATTTATTTTCCTCATCTATTAGGGCTGTGGTCTATCACTAGGCCATTTGAG